ATTCTACAGGAAACTGTTTGCGTCATGTGTCGACGTACCCAGACCAAAAATTCGAACCGCCAAGAAACAAATTCGCTCGGTGCTGATCAATGCAGTAAGAAACGCAATCTTCCAGGTGAAAAGTGGGAATAAAAATCCCGTAACGAGGGTATTAGCATTAAGCTCATGAAAGCCGGTGGACACACCCTCTGGAAGGCACTTGCCGCTAGATTAAGTCGCCAGTGACTAAGAAGACCACCCCTAGCAACTGGAAGGAATCGAAGACCGTTTTGCTCCGTAAAAAGAGCGATAAAGAAGACCTGAAGAATTATTGCTGGATCTGCTTGCTCTTTCACGTATAGGAGCTTTTGACAAGGATCATTACCAACCGCCTCGATGAGCAGCATATGCAGGATTTCGAAGCAAATATAGCATTACGAACAACCTTTTCACTCTAAACCAACTGCTAGAGCTCGCTAGTGAGTATAAATTATCCTTATGTCTCTTTTTCGTCGATTACGAGAAGGCATTCGACAGCGTGAAACTCAACGCTGTTCTGTAAGCTCTTGCGGAAGACGGAATCAATGAGAAGTATGTCGAAATCATCAAAGAAGACAATACAGAATGCTCGACCAAAAAACGCTTTTCTCACACCCAATTCGTATACCGATTGAAAAGGGCATGAGACAGGACGATCCATTATCACCCAAGTTCTTTACTGCATGTCTCGAGATCATGTTCCACAAACTGAACTGGAAGGGCTGTCTGAACATCAACGGCGAACAGCTGAATCATCTACAGTCGACAGTACTTACTCGACTCGCAAAATATGCTCGAGAAATGAATTAGATGCTGCAAGAGTTCAAGGAACGAAGGAAAGAAGTTGATCTTCAAATTAAGGCAACGAAAACGAGGGTAATGCAAAGGTCGGCAAGCCCAAGGCCAATTTACAGTTAGACGATGTAGACTTGGAAGAGGTCAACAATTAACTCTATTTGGGCCACGAACTGAATAGGCGCGGTGTATAACCGGAAATTATACGTC